CCGAACAGATCTGGTCCAAGATTAACAAGCTGTGTTTGGATACCCTTGTGAAGGCTGGAGCCACTTGGGGTTTTGGCAAACGCGCTAGAGGTTTTCTCCCGGATTTTGCATCAAAAACCATTTGCCCAGGGCAACTTCCTTGCGGCTCCGCTACCACATGTCGTGGTTCCAAACTACATAATACCCTCTCCAGATTGTGTGAGCTCTTCACGAGGGTCAGCAGAGCTGTTGGCTCCCCAGCCGATGTGTTGATCTCACAGAAAACATCACTTAAATGTAGAAGGGCTTTGAAGGCGCTTCATGCGCCATGTGTGTGGACCCACAAGGGAATCCCGTCCCTGGTTGAGATTGATGCAAATTTGTCTTGGATCCGCTCGGAGGCTCAGGCGTTGGTTGTGCAGCGGAAGAAACAGCGTATTGCTCTATGGAAGGAGAAAATTCAGACTGATGAAAAAGGGACAATGCGTTTCATTTATCACCACCTGAGAAATAGGGCCCGTGATGAACCCTCAAACCTTGTCCATGACGAGAGTGGTCACATCATTTTCCATCCCCGACATGCCATCGCTGCTATCAATGATAAATGGGATGATATTTTCAGCGCTAATGTCTCCCATGAAGAGCCGTTGAATGTGCTTCGCGTTGTTTGGCCATATTTGGACCATGATGCCGAACCATGGTCGCTTCCGCCACTGGCTGGCGCTGATATCCTGCAAACCATCCAGAACAGGAACCCGCTGGCTGCAGCTGGACTGGATGGCTGGCGCACCTCCGATTTGCAAAAATTGCCTGTGACGTGCTGTGATGCTGTGGCAGCCTTTTTTAATAGGTTGGAAGCAGACTGTGAGTCATCCATCCCAGATGTGTTGGTTCGCGCAAAGCAAATTATTTTAAATAAACCCGGCCTGTCCACCCCAATGAACAAAAGACTGATCGCTATCATGTCCCCTCTCCTGTTAGCATACTCAGGTACAAGATTTCGACAGCTCCAGGAATGGCAACGAACGCGTTTGCCTGTCCAGCTCTGTGGTGGAGTCCAGGGTCGCACCATGGCCTCTGTGTCGGTTGGTCTGCGCCTGGATATCGATACAGCCCGCTGTGAGCAGTCTGATCTTGTTGGCATTAAACTGGACCAATCAAAGTGTTTTGATCGCATTGTGCCTGCTATTGCGGGCGTTTTGTTCCTTGCCTTCGGTATGCCAAAAGGGGTTGTGAATGTGTTTTTGAAAACCTATGTTGGTCTCAAGAAACATCTTTCTTATCGTGGATGGGTCTCGCGAGCGCATTCGACTTGTGCGAACGGTGTCGCACAAGGTTGTAGCTTGTCACTTTTGGCCATCAACACTTTCATGGCCGTATGGGTTAAGTTTGTCTCCCTCATCCCACATGTTACCTGTAAGGTTTTTATTGATGATGCATACTTATGGGTTCGCATCCAACATTTGCATCACCTTCAAACTGCCTTGCTTGTCACGAAGCAGTGGAACAATTTGATTGGGCAAAAGCTTAATCCCGACAAAAGTACGCTGTGGGCTACATCCACTGCTGCTAGAAATCAGGCCAAAGTGTGTTTCCCGGACATTCCGCTGGCACTTGAGTTTGATGCTCTCGGCGCAAAAATTTACACTTCACAGAGGAATGCAACTGCGTGTTCCCCTGATCGTGTTGCTAAAAAAGTTCCTTCCTTTGGAACAAACCCCCTAAAGCCTCGGAAAGTTCATGCAAATCCTGATGTTTGTGAAACTCTTTGCGACATCTTCCCTGTGTGCATTGACCAGCCGCATTCATTGTTGCACACAGTTTCGGAGGCATTGCGTGTCTTCCATATCACGCTCTTTGCAGATTTGACCTTTGGTATTGCGGATGTTCGTATTCCCCTTCTTGAGGTCACTTTCAAAGACTTGAAACAGCTTTTGTATGCTTTGGGAAAACAAGCTTGCTATGAACTCTCTGTCTACAAGCCTCGGAAAGATTTGTGTCGACCGACTGGTATTATTGACACAACCCTCTCGCGTCTCTTCTTGCAAAAATACAAACCCCCTAAAGCTTCAAAGGAGAACCTTTCTCCCTTCTTTGAATCACAGCTGGTTGGGTGTACAATTACCAACGATAGAAGACATGCCGCAGGTTTTGCAGAATCAAACTTATGTCGGTTTTGTAACGGCATCAAAGAGGCTCTTAAGCACATTGTCCAAGATTGCCCAAAATGCCCGGAGCAATTGCGAAAGTGTGTTGTGCATGATCTCGGTCCGAACTATGCCAATTTCGGGATTGTGGAACACCCACCAGCGATCGTCGCCCATCGGCTCAGGTGGCTATCCTGGACAGACTCTGCGATTGTGCCTTTCCAGCCTCATCTTCCGAAGCTTGAACGGTGGACGGATGGAAGTGTTGTCTTTGGTCAATACTTTTGGCTTGCAACAGCTGCTTTTGCGATTGTCAATGAGAACGAAGAGTGTCTTGACGCTGGTCGCGTGCATCACCCAGGGATCTCAGCTTTTGCTGCTGAGCTATATGCGGTTTTGATTGCGGCTGCCCAAGCACCAGCGCAGGTTTGTATCTACACAGATTGTCTCACTGTTGTTGATCTTTTTGCGGATATGGTCGCCAATAACAGAGTGTGTGTGACATGGAGTCACCAGATTTGGTGGAAGAACCTTTTTCATATTTGGTCTATTCGATCTGCTGTTCAATATGAACCTCTTATTTTGAGATGGATTCCAGCTCACAAGAGTGACAATGTTCCGCTTGAGCATGTGGATCAGACATTGGCGGATAATCTGCAAATTCCTCTCAGACACCTACGTTGCAATCGTGTTGCAGACTTGAAAGCGAAGGAGGTAGCTTTTGCAAATGCACCAGTGCATCCCAAAGTGTTTCAGCAACTCCAGTATGATGTTTTTCAGCGACAGTCTCAGCTGGCAATCTTGAACAGGACCATTGGAACTGAGATGTCTGTCCGGAAATTTTTCCAGACAAAGGAGGATATATGTTCAACCGCAGAGGTTTTTGATGTACGTAAGCGGTTTCCCAACTGGCTGTGGAAGGCCGAAATAAGTTCCTTCCTTTGGACACCCACCCTGACTTCTGAGATCCACGATGCTCTCACCCATGTTTTTGGCACGATTGATGCTTCTTCCATCGGTGAATTTTGGTCTTCTCTTCATTGGCAGTGTGGTGAGCAGTTCTCTGTTTCCTACATTGAATTGGCCTTTCTTTTTTGTCGGCAGAAACGTTCGCTGGAAAAATTTGCTGAACCGAATGTTACAGTGGCACAAATCCAGAAGGTCTTGAAGAGAGCTGCTGGTATTATTTTTTCCCTAAGTGGTCAACAGTTGATCCCAGGTCTGCATGACGCCGTGTGGGCTCATAAATGTGGACGAGCTTTACCGAAAGGGTCCATCCGGAGTGCAAGACCCTTTTTCGCTGATCCTGAACTGGAATGTTTCGCCCATCTTTTGCTTGATGGCAAAAATCAGAGCCTCACAACCTGGGATATTGCTCCGGCAGATTGCTTTGGCGTGACTTAATTCGTTTGTTGGGCATCTTGGCTTTTGTAGGGTTTCGCAACTTGTTAATTCACTGACTGCAACCATAGCCACTAGACCTGTGAGTCTACGGCTGTCCCACAATACGTGGGAATGACGGATAGAACAGGTGGCAAGAAGGTTTGACATTGTGACATGGACATTCATGAGAGGCGAGCAGTTGAAGCAGTTGGCCGACAGTTGGCCCTTTTTCGGAACACTTTTGGACGAAACGGGAGAAAAAGGAACGTGGACTCCACATTCAGTGGCTTTGCCATGTTTTGCCGAATATTCTCCATAGATCCCAGTCCATTTTCTTCACCAAAAATCAACCACAAGTGGAATCCACAGTGCCGTCAACAAACCTGCTCTGCAGAAGGACGGGGGGAAAGAGCGCTATGACTCCAGCCACACCTTGCTGATTTCACTCTCTGATCGCTCGACCTTCAGCGGCGGCGCCACACGCCTGTGGCCCAGCAACAGCTATGACGACACGGCTGTGGATGTAGAGCTACCGCGTGGCTATGGGCAACTTGGTGATATGTCAGATATCACATCATATCATATGATATCACACCCCCTTTGCTTTTTCAAAAACACATCTGCCAATGGCACCTATTCCAAGCATGTTTCTTTCAATGCGGACAGCCTGCCCGTGCCCAACCTTTTGTCGTGCCCAACCTTTTGCGTGCGAACGAAGGCTCATCTTCGATCAGCGTTTGCTGCACTCGGGCCTGGCGGTCCAGCGGGGCACGAAGCACATTGCCCAGGTGGGTCTGCTGCGTGGCGCTCCCAGCGCCATCAGCGGAGCGCCCAGCACCTTCCGCTTTGGGCCAGGGCTTGACGTGCGGTGAGCACCACTCTTCAGTGTGAAATTCCGGTCCATCGAGTTGAGATGTAGAGCTCCGGATGGACTGCCCTAGACATGGACCTCCAGACAGGATGATCCAGACAGGATGAACCAGGCATGTGTTTCTGGTGTTCTTGGTAGTGCTGAAGTGCTGAATTCGTGGTGCTTGCCGTTCGCCGTTCGCATCTGTGGTGAGACTGATCGCCAGAGCCTTTGGGCTCGGGTCTGAGACACCGATGCAGCTCTGCTCCTTTCCACACCTTCGCCCGAAGAAAAGGAGTGATCGCCGCCTCGCGCGTTTTTGGTCGACCTGGGTGGCATGGACTGAGAAAGATGTTTGTGGGTCAAAACCTGCAGACTTTGGGTCGAATCCTGGAGACTTTGGTTTGACCTACCTGGCGAGGTCGTTTGCGGCAAATGGTGGACGAGGGCTGTTGGGCAAGTGGCTATTTTGTGACTTTAATGCTAGCCAATGACCTTATATGGCTTTGGATTGCGGGGCAACATGTCAAAATAGGCCAACTGATGACAGCGCAATTAGACCGGAACCTCTCAAGCAACTGACCCCATTTGCGGGTCCGGACGGACCACGTCCGGTCTGGGTCCCGGACTCGTCCGTTGAGGCAGAGAAGATTCAGCAAGCTTTCCGGAAACATGCAGAGCATCAGGTGCGGAGGAAGTGAGGGAAGCGACCCTTCGAACTGGCGGGTGGCCGGCGGTGCGACCCTTCTGATTTCAGACGAGGTTCAGACGACCTGGGTGGACCTTCCCAAGCCAATTTGTTCGAGCTGAGTTTCCCTTGTTTGAGCTGGTGGTGCAGGCTGCTAGGCTGGAAGTTGGTGCTTTTGATGGGAGCTTCCCACATCTGAAACAAACTAAGGTATGTTAGAGACACTTCGGCACCCCTGGCCCACAACCACCCAGGGAGTAGAAGAATCTACCCCTTAGGGGGGGGATGGGGGTTTCACCCCAGCTAAGGTGGAACAGCCCAGCTAAACCGTTCGAACGTCCAGCTCAACCGGCTCGGTCTTTCGTCCGAAACACATGCTTCGGTCCACAAGGAGTATTGGTACTCCAGGAGCGTTTCTTCCAGTCGCTGAAACGGGGTGAAGATGGGATCAAGGTCCGGCGCGAAAAGACCAGATCCTTTTGGTTCATTCATTTTCCTCAGTGTAAGCCCATGTCTGGACCTTGACCTACTAGATCCTGCCAGTAACCCTCTGGACATCTCTGGACCTTGACCTGTTAGATATAGACAGATATAGACATGTTTTGGAGCCGGCAGAAGGTTATAGACCTTGACCTGCACAGCTCTGGACCTTGACCTGTTAGTTGACCTGCAAAACGTCGGGACGAATGGACGAATCGGCTTCCGGCAGGAAGTGAAGCGAATCCAAGCAACGGACGCCGGGCCGGGAGCTCTGTTTGTGCCGCTTGAGCCGTGTCCGTCGTGTCCTGAACAGACCCCCCTTCTGCTGAACAGATCTGAGAGATTGTCACCACAAAAAAGACAAACATGGCCATGGCAAGCCGTCGTGTAACATGTCAACCATTCAAACAATGCAAGAGTCTTGGAAGAGGGCACCAAAATTTGATTCAACTTGTGCATTGATTGGCAAAGCATGCTAAGGCCATTGATGTAAATTGAATTCTTTAAGCTGTTGGTGGCCAAAGCTAGAGATGGCTGTGGGACACGCCCCATCCAGGTCGATCGCATCCCATGGCCTCAATGAAGGGCCTCGAACAAGGGAGAAGCCCATGGTCCAAAGGAGAATAAGATAGACTTTTCATGAATACACATTCACGTGAAAAGGCTTTACAATCGAAGTGGAATGGGGTTGTATTAGTATATTGATCAAGAGTCTAATATTGGACGATCGCACTAGACTCCAATGGTGAGGATCCCGTGACCAATTTTCGTCAGATCCGAGACGCATGGGACACTGAGAGAGATGTTGGTTTGGTGGAACATGTGGAAGCACTGGACATTGGGTCACCACCTGTTTTGGCCAGTTGAAAAGCCTGAACATTGGAGCCATGTTCCACCTGTCCTCATGTAGGACAGACCCTCTCGCCGGCCCTGAGGTCCAGTTCCTGAGTGGCCGGCATTGAGCAAAGCGGTGGCACAGAGATGACGACGTATGATCCCTAGCCTTCCAAGACCATTGATTAAAAGAAAGGTTGCCAGACCATGACAGACCTGGTTCTGTAGTCCAAAATCTAAAACCATCTAAAACCCCAAAATTACTGTTGAAACACAGGTTGTTGAGCCCTAGGGTTATGTGTCATAATTTTCATAGTCATACTTTTAATGTCAAGCCACAATTGCCAGGCATACTAAAGGACAGATAGTTTGACTAGCCGAGCGGACCATGTTAGGTGCTTTAACCGACTGCTCAACTGGCTCGGCTTATCTCAACTTCGGGGGCTCCGGCATCCACAAATTGGAAGGGGCTTGGAAACGTGCCAGCGGATGAAGCGGCACTATCACTGTGCTGTTGGATCGTCAATGCTGTTGGAACGTCAATGTCAATGGCACCATCTAACCTTTGCAGCATATGGGATCATTGACAATTACAGTATGATTCAGGATCATTTTCAATGGTAGAGCGCATACGCGAGTGATGTTGGGTGTTAACCTGGGGTAGAAGTTCTTCGGGTTGATTTGCCTGGAAGACCGCCGACCACGGCTTACATTGATTCATCACAGGCAAACACCTCAAGCTGTGCTGTAGCTGTGGGTCAAAACGCCGACCTCCCCGGAGGGCGGACCATGTCTAGTATTCCATTTGCTTCATTTTCAGAGGTCAACCAGGCTCCAACGTTTTGACCCATAGCCATGTGCAGTATGGTGGGACCTACTTGTGCAGCGCCGGTGCTCTTGGTTTCACTCAGCCCGGAGCCTGAATCGGCAAGAAGGATTGCCATGAGATCTGCGGATCCTGTGCTTCAACTAACATCAACTAACTAAAATTTGAGAACTAAGCTATGATTCTGATGTCAAATACTGGTAGAATACACAATACATTTACAGTAAGTTCAGTATCAAGTAGTTATATCTTTCTACTTGTTAAGCGGATGATGGAAGAGCTGGGAAAGCTGTCAGACATAGTACTTGACCAGCCTCTAGTAGGGGTTCTGCGGTGCTTCTATTCTGGAGATGCTGGCATCTCCAATCAATGCCCTGAAAGATCTCTTCCTATACCTCTTCAGTTCCTGTAGTCGAACAATTTGGTTGATTGGCCACCATCTCAGGCCCCAGTGTGAAAACAGATCGGGCAACACAGACCATGAACCGTGGCATCGCTGCCCCAACGAAGCCATGAACCGGCCACCGGGGGGGGGGTGTTGGCCATGCCCCGGGGTGGCGCATGCTCACTGATGGCCCGTGATCGGTCCTTCCAGTGCCGGTCGTCGCGAAACACCCTCGTCTCTGGGATCTAGTTCGTTGGCGCTTTCCGTCTGCATGGTGACACCCGGTGGTATGAACTTGACCGGAAAGACAGGATCTGTCAGACTTTCCCCACTGCTCCGGACCCCATGGTCGCCACCGGACACTTCCCAAGGGAGCGGCGGCAAAAATGATCTGCCAGTGGACGGCTTTCGGGTTCATGGTCTGCCGCTGAGGGTGATGGAGATCAAAAGGGGTTAGGTGTCTCAAGAAGAGAGGAAGCTACCCATGGAATCTGAGGCTCCACGGAGGACGGAAGCTTCCAGATTCAGAATTCATCTATGAATCTGCCATGGTATCATTGGGAGTGGCATTGTTATTGCGTGAATGTCAAGGATTACCCAGCCAGAGATTCCCACCACTGGTGGAATCGCATCCTTTTCCCGCAAAGCAGACTTGTCATAGGCATACCCTGCAGGGTGCTCTAGTCGAGGTCCCACTTTCTCCCACTTTCGAGCAAAGATATGGTCGGAACAGAATCATGGAAGTGGATTTGATGGCCATACGGCCCCTTGGACGACCATTTTCCTCTACAAACCGATGGATCTTAAGAGGCGCCCACGCCTACACATCCCACGTCAAAACCGGTCCGTGGGCCGACGCCAGGCAGTCCACCATATCAGGTCCCCCGCTGAGAAAAGGGGTGTCGATTTGATCTATGTATAACCCCGAAAAAGCGGTGAGAAAAGGGGTGTCCATTTTTTCCCCACCCCTTCGATGTTCTGATAGATTGATCCTCTTGAAAAACCACCCCAACTGACAGGGTCTGTATGATTGTGTGCCAGTCTCCAGGAGTGTTTCTTCCACCAGGACTTCACTCGTCGCTTGGGATGGAGGCGCCACCTGCGCCACCGGCACCGTCGCGTGCCCCACCCCATTGGCGGTCGGCTGTTTGGGCTCCGACGGAATCCAGCCTGGCCCAAGAAATCATCAAGGCGCGAGCGGGCGGATTTCGGAGACGCAGAGGGAGGAGAACATGGAGACGACCTGCAACATGAGGTGACTGGAGGTGCTAGTATGTGGATACTTGATGATATTTGATGATATTTGTTAGTTCCTATAACAGACTCCATTTGTAATGATGTTAGGTCATTTGAGAAATTTGAAATATCCTCTAGGACGTTGTCATGACGCTTTTGAAGCAAGAGACGTGTGACATCCCACATGGCAAAGCTCAGGCAAACGAGTCAACCTGTGTGTTATTGTGTGTTTGTGGATGAAACAGTGGATGAATCCACCAAGAAACCATGATGAAACCCAAAGCCTACTTCAAAACCTTCAAAAGAACAGCACCGGTGCTGGCCTAGACCTTGCTAAGAGGTGTGTCCTGGCCTAGCTATGAGGATCGAAACGTTCGGACACCGCCGAGAAAACACTCTGAACGCACCCCGTTCCGAATGAGGCAGCGCTTTGCTGTCAGTGCTTTATGCCGCTGGCCTGAAGATGGTGGGAGATGTGCCAGTGTGGAAGTGGATGGAATGGCCTTGGAGGATCTTGGAGGACTATTGTTAACTCCACAAGCAGAGAATCCTTGTCGGAAGATCGTTGCATCATCCGAAACCTGGATGAGAAGGTGGACCTGGGAGATGGAGTCTTCCCACCTCCCAGCAGCCCTTCATTTGATCCGCTGAAGGGAGCATGGGGAGGAGCATGGGGATGGGCGGCCAGAACCGGAGTTGGAATGACGGACTCGGCAAGAATAGAGTGGAACAGATCCTGTTTGCAATTTGCAGAGGAAAAGCATGGAAGAGCGCTTGCCCATGGCCTTGCAACCCACTTTCATAATTAGAGTGGAGTGATTCCTCTTTCAAGCTATCTCACATGTCAACTATGCTTATCTATAATATATGGCACGCTTCATGTGGTTTGGTCTCCTTATGTAGCCGTACCGGCCATCAGGTCAAAAGCAATGCGCCATCTTGTGCAATGCCTGTGGCTTGGATTTGAATTTGACCCGTGTTTGGTGGCGTGAAACGACATGTTCTCTGCATCATCTTTGTCGCATGTGGATCAAGGAATCGCTCCCTAGGCTGGTTCAGCAGTTGCTCGTGTAGGACGATCAGACCTTCAGACGCACCCATGGCCCAGATCGGCCCCTCTGTGGTGCCGCTCACCACGGGTTTTTACTACCAAGCCACAAGAAGGCACGTGTACAGCGGGGACTGCGCATATGTACCACCGCATTTGCCTAGCAATTGTACCTACGGTAGTCGCTGTTTCACCCTCTGCCAGCATTGAGGGTGAGATGTTCTTTTACTAATTAGGCTATCTTATCTTCTGAAGCATGAAGGTAAACCACCTACAGATTGACACCATCCTGAACAGACAAGCCATGCTTTTGCGAAAAATGGGCCCAGTGTCCAGTGGGTTTACAGGGATCTACATATGTACAGACCCGAACTTATGGATCCTTATACCCTTTGAGAAGGTCAGGGTCAGGTGATTTGTGCGTTCAACACTTGAAATCAGATCGGCGAGTGGTCTTTCCCCACGCGGCCGACCGAGTTGTATGAAGCTGCCTATTTGAATCTGAAAAGAACGTGGCGAGGTAACCATGGGCACCAGCTCTTCCACTTTTACAGGTGCAGAACACCCCCTAAAAGAACCGGGTCGAAAGAGCTGGGTTCGACCGCCCAGAATCGTGGGATCTGAACGTTGGCCGCCAAGCACCTGGGGGTCCTGAGGCTTCACAGGTTCAATCATCATGGGGAGAGAAAGCATCCGAAAGCCACCAGACATAGGCACTTCCTTAGTGAGTCTGCTGTGATGTTCCAAACAACACCGGCACTACGTCCAAGAAATGCACTTGCTAGAACACATTAAAATCTTTGAATGTAAACATCAATTGGAAGTGTTACTGCTACTGTTGACCTACAAGAGTACCTTCTATTAGGAGCCGACGGAAAAACCTGCCAACGTGGGAGTGGAGTTTCCACCTGTTTTCAGAGGAAGATCGTCGTAAGTTAGGTCCGTTTTCCACTTCCATGGTTGGTGAATGGAAGTGCCTGTAGTTTGTTTCAAAATTTATCAACAGTTTCAGACCGTGGAAGCCGAGCGAAGTTGCGAAGTTTGTTGCTTACCTTCACTAGATCGCTAGATGATGCTCGATTTTGTTATATGTTGTACGTTGTATTATTCTGTTCTGTTTCCATCATATTCCGATGGTGTTCGTATTTATGTAAGATACACATCAAACACTTATTCCATGTTGTACACACATATTCACAAATGTCACAAATACCTACTATATCTCTCATCTGAATCCAGATGGCTCTCGTGTATGACAACATCAGATCGCCCAGTGAACAATTACTAACCTTGAAGGGTAAACTGATGGATTGGACATATGAGGACGAACATGAGTTAGACCTGCAACAGTCGGTAGCAGATTATCACTTGTTTTGAGAGAGGCCTGTTCAGATTATCACGTGTTTTGAGAGAGGCCTGTTCTAAGCATCATCATCCACTGGACCCTGGTAATGGGATATACAGCTAAATATATAGTATATTATATATCGATATAGATATCCCCAAAGCATGAGCTCTGCTGTATGGGAAGACACCCACCGCAGATCAGCGCCTGACCTCACCTGTCCAGATCGATGTTTTCTCCAGATTCGATGGGACGAACGAACATCGATCCGAAGTGCGGGTCCGGGTGAGGGAGGCTTGAGAGCTTGGGGACGTGAATGGACGACATGATGTCGTTTGGGAGGTGGATCATTCCCTTACACACAATATGATATATATATATATGAATGCTTCCCTGACATCCTCCCATTCATATGCATTACACCGCAAAACCACACAACAGAACCCCCTTCACACACACATGCAAAAACACAAAATCAAAGAACACAGAAAGAGAGCGAGATGAAACGGCTCACGCACATTCACACACCATCCAGCTCTTTGTCTCAGGGTGCTTGACGACATGGACGTTTCCTCAAATTGAGACTTGCGTGAGCCGCAACTTCTGATTCACTGTGCTTCACTCCCAACAGATTCTACGTCTTCCCCTTCCTCAAGTTCGACCATCCACCGACCGACCTTCGACGTTCCCGTCGAGGTGCCTTGCAGTTTTGGTGCGCCCCTCCGTTTGCGATGAAGTTACATATGCGCTCAATGAGGATGACCCGCTCCTTGGGCTGCACCCGGTGTTAAGCGAATGAGACAATGGAGTGCTCAAATGTCTTTGAAGGATTTGAAACGTTTGAAGGTAGTTGAGAGACCTTATGGGACCCTGTAGTAGTACATATGGGATAGGCTATAGGGCTGTTCAATCTCTCTAGGTATTTGAAGGTAGTTGAACGTCAAAGACATAAGCAAATGAAGAAGACCTGGCCACCCGGCAGAGGGATGCACGGGCGATTGGACATGTTCATGTGTCGGAACGTAGCCATTGTGTTTGAGTGACCCAGATTTGTTGCATCTACCACTGTCCAGAGTCCAGACTCCATTCTATGGCATATTATAAAATACATAGCCTATTACATTGGGGTGTTTGAAACGGGGTTCAATGGGGTGACATCTCTTCTATCCATCAAGTGTTAGCCGCTAGCCCCTTTCCTGGAATCCAGCGAATCCAGGTGCGCTGACAGCACGAGCTCCGAGTGTACTCTCAGTGCTGCTTGGTACGCAAGAGATACAGTTCTTTCTTCAAGTAGATGGCCCCCCAGCGACGCCCTGCCGGTGCGCCCATGGACCGGGGTCCATTGCACCACCGACCGGGCCCTGGGGGTGGCACCATCGAAGAGAATTGAAGCCACAAGATGGACCCATTCACACCAACAGAGGTTGAATGACCCTATAGTTATAGACTATCCCATAGGTACCCCGGGTACCCCAGTAGGGTCCTATAAGGTCACTTAACCTCTGTTGGCATGGCTGGGCTAAGTGACGAGCACGGCCCAGGATGTTGTCGGACAGAGGTGCCTTGGTGAAGATCTGCGGATGAGCAGAGCCACGGATGACTAACTAGAGTCTTTGTTGCGGATGGCCAACTAGACTTCTTTTTCAGAGTGAGTGGCTGATTCCTTGCTTCAAGATTGTACTTGTCATGAATGTCATGGAGTATCATTCTTCGCACCGCATGGCATCTGAGAAACGCAAAAAGTCCTTGAGAACGCCAGCCCAGGCTTTACAGTGACTTGGCTGCACCCAATTGCATCATTTTGTTCAGGGGATGCTGGACATGGAGAGGAGATTCTCGAAAAATCCAGTTGATTGATGCAGCTTGTGACCTCTTAGATTCAATAGTGGAAAGAGATCATTTTGTGGGCGCTTGTATATGGCTGTGTGTCAAAACCAAGATACCTTGACCTACCTGGAAGGTCGTTCGCTACATGCAGGGCCAGGGCTCCAGGTTGAGCTACCCATCTCCATCTCGTAAGATGAGATTGCGGTCGCAACATCCGTGTGTTGCGAATCCATGATATCGGCATGAGGTTGACACTTGCCTTTCGTCCTAGTTTTAGTAATAGAGGTCTTAAGCAAGTAACAAGGACGCTACTAGTAACAAATGGCATCGCTACTAGCAAGGACGCTTTGTTTATGTCTGAAATACGTTACTTTCAACGTGCAAAAGGTCGTAGAAGTCACCGCGCAAGGGGAATCAACCCAGCACCCGGCTCGAGCTTTCACCATTCGACCATGGGCGAGTAACCATTGGCTCGGTCGTCTTATTTCTGCCGGTGCTTTGGGATGTTCGGTCGTTCTTTCAGTAAGTCAGATGTTCGGTACTCTTGACTACTTGTTGGGGTATCTTGGAGTTGCACAAACCATACCAGGGGTTGGAAGACCAGTTCCAGCCCCGGATGAGGGTGTTGTTCCCTTGTGAAGTGCACGTACCACAAGGAGGTATCATTCTGCACAATTGCTCCCAGCAGATTACGGTCTTTGGAGCTGAATTCAGTCGGCCGGACCGTGTGTTGTGACTTACGGTCGCCAGTCTAGGCAAGGCGAATGAACAACCCACGGGACGTGACAGAACGCCGCGATGCGTCGCGTGGCCGTCTGTTTGAACCAGGTCAAAGACGAAGACTCTCACAGCAGGAAGCCACTCGACAGAAACAGAGGAAGTGTGGGGGATTGGAAGAGACGGTCAACAGTGGATTGTTTTCGCTGGTGAGGGAAATTAATGATGACGAAGGAATGGCTGTCATGTGCTGGTCATTGAATTGGTGCTAGGATAGTGCCATGTTGAATTCTATCAACACAGTTAGGTTTCAGAAGCCAATTAGGAGTCTTACTAATCTCGGGGGTGGTGGTCAAGGAGCCCTGAAAGAACCTTGGATACCAAAAGCAAGAGTTTTTGAGCATGATTCTTCCCAAGTTTGTTTGTCAGGCTGGCTTTAGGAGGAAAGCCGTGGTATACACAGTGTTTTCGCCAGGTTTGGTCTCTTCAACCAAGTGAGCAAGGGTTCTTGAGTCAGGGTTTCACAGTGACATTACATGGGAATGATGGAATTTCGACCCTTCCTAGTACTAGCAGGGTCTTCAATCTTTCCATAGGAGCTTCCAATCTGCTGTAAACTTCATGCTCCGGGCGAAAGCATATTTTTTTGGTGTGGCTTTGGGGCGAAAGACACCGAGTGTCCTGACCGAGTGTTCTCGGTGGCTCAAACGAGTGTCGACCGAGTGTCCCGGTCGAGTCGTCGAGTCATGTCGAGTCGTCGAGTCGTTGCATTGACCGGTCGGTCTCGCGCATCGATCCGCAGGCTGTGCTCGATTCGGTTGCAAGAACGAGTACGTGAGGCCAGTCGAGAAGACCGACCCGCGGAATGGAGAGGTCTCCAGGGCCTCCGTACGTGAATCACCTGCAGGTCACCTCTTTTTTTGGGGGGCCATTCCACCCCACTCAAAAACCAAACAGGTGGAAAGTCATTCTTTAGTTTTCCAGGCAAACGGCTCGGGGGTCAGCATAAATCCACCGGCTGGAACAGTCTCCACTTTTTACTACATTGGGATTCAATTTGGACTGCTTCATCAAGGAAAGCTTCTCTGGACTTGAATGGCTTTTTGGGGCCGGGCCTTGGCCGTCTTTGGCAAGTCTTGGGTGCTCAGGGGGGCAGAACTCATGGAAACTTGAATATTGAATCAGATTCATTTGTGTGCGTTTTTTGCGTGCATTTTGGCGCTCGAACATCGCCGACGAAAAGGCCACAAACTGGGGGTCCTCCGGTTTGTGGAGGCCCTCTCTCTCATTTTCGAGTGGGAAGGATGTTCTACTACACAGATTTGGTTTTGCCTCTTTCAGGCGAACTGAATCCTGCAGTTTCTAGTCTTCAGTTGAACGGAATCTTCCGTTGCGTTCTTGAACGGAATTCGCGGACGTTCCTTCAGGTCATTGGGTTTTGATTGTTGAGCCACACGTAAGCGGTCATAATATGTCATGCCAATGCCCAGGCATGCCCAGGTCGAGGCACTGCATATATATATATATAGTATATGCATATATGGCATATTATGGCATATTTACATTGCGCTCTCTGTCAGTGTCTGAGATGGATTTTTCAGAGAAACACATCTTCCCACCTTGCACAGGTGGCAGGATTGCCAATGCAATGGCTGCTTGGCACATCAGCGGACGCATGCAAGATTCTGTCAACCTTCGTGCAGGGATGCTGAACTGAAACAAACTAAGTGATCAAAGAAACACCCCTTTGTGGATCCGTCGTGTGTGCCATGCTGATTCAACCTACGGTAGCCATCCCTGGCCCTAGCCATATTCAGCGACAGTCTTTTGATCCTGTTGGCCTCCCGCCCTTTTGCATCTTCCTAGACTTCCTTGGGAGTCAACTTCTTTGACGAAGTGGGAGCGTGTGTTCACAATCGCGCTTTCTTTCGGCCCCAGAATTGCCCTCATTCCATTTCGCGCGTGTTGCACACAAGAATCCAACATTTTTAACTACTGTATCAATTCTTGTCAAGATGATTCCCCTTTGGTGGGATTCGGTTTTGTCATGTTTCTGCCGGGCAAAGGTACTACAATGCAGTACACTGTGTGCATTGTATCCTTGCCCAGCTACATCCAAATCTGAATCTGCTCCACACGATGACATGTCGCTTTGAAACTTCATTGAATATCATTTACCTCTGGAAACACGCTTTCCTCATGCGGGTGACATGATTTCCCACGTGTTGGTCGGTGCCTTCGCCACCCTCCAAGACAACTGCTGGAAGTACGAGAACTGCTGCAGGGGCTCTCAGCAATGTTCGTTCGTTTGATATGTTCTTTCAATGACCGGTGAAGGAGGGCGCTGTCAACGCTGGCGACCTCGTGGCCTGGTTGGTGAGGTCTGAAGCTGGCAGGTAGCAGGGCCTTTTGGGGAGCATGTTGCCGAACTCAAGTGCTTTTTCGTTCAGCCAACGGATTTTTTGTGTTTTTGACCATCTGAGGGTCAAGCATCACCCGTATACTAGACTTAGATTCAGATGCAAAGCTGCCGCTTTGCATTGAAGCAGTCATTGGCTGCTACCCATACCAGAAAGAACTGGCTGGCCAAATACAAATCAGGAAGATGGACACATCAACTCATGTATGATGAATTTACTGCATGAGTTGCGGGAAGATCTGCCAGGTCGATCCAGATCGTGGAAACTTTTGTTCAGATCTTGCCTGCTGAAGGGTTCCTGCTTCAGTGGCCTCGCCCACCCCGCCTGAGTTTTCTGATCTTTGTTTTTGTGAGGTTGGGGATTCAGGTTCGGCTGATTTCAATTCGGTTTTGGCCGCACATGGACGTTGCAGGCTACGACTACGACACACGCTGCAAGGAGTGGGCAGAAAGAACAGCTGCTGAACTCTGATGATATGGAGGATTTTCTTTTAGGGAAGCCAAAAGAACAGCATACGGTATAAATTTGGGTGGTGGTTTGATATACTTGGGAGGATTATTGCACCCATTGACCATTGACTAACATTATTAAACTAGGCCACGGCTGCCTTCTCAAAATCGGGTCCATGAAAATCCCAATCCTTGAACCATCATAGACATGTTTTCAGACAGCCAAGAGGAATTTCTGGATGGTGTGTTTTTTGGGAGATATAGAAGAAACGCACAGAAACGCACCACATGCCTTCTGTGCTCACGCGTAGGAATTACTTGTGTATACCTTTGAGAGCTGGCACAGTCGTGATAGTCTACCGCGCATGGGTGGCGCGTGCTTTGCCAGGAGCGACGAGCTTCGGAGCGACTTGGGCGTCGACACACGACACGACAACTGGATATACAGACTGACAGGTGGGGGCTCTTTTCTCGCAAAGCCGCTTGAAGAGACAGAGTCCCCTTTTGAGGCATCTAGAGATTGATTTGCCTTGGGTGATCATCCCTGCATCTCTGTTTTTTCTGTGATTGATTCTCTTTGTTCACAGGGTCCTTGAGGGGAGCCGAAGCACTCATGACAGGTGACGAGTTGAGTTTGGGTTGTCCTTCCGCGACACAGACAGTCCCAATCATCACCACGGTTTTATCACACCCTTCGCAACCTTCACCATCGACTGGAATCTATGTACTCTCCCTGTGTGGTCATGGAATATGTGTGTGTACTAAAACTTACTGACCCTCCAATGTAACAATTGTGGATTCATTATACTTCAGTATGCATTCATTTCTTCTGAAGTATCCTCAGGGCTTGGCAGTGCAACGAGGAGACCGGAGGGGAGGATGGTCCTGGATCCTCTTTGAACCATGGAACCTGCCGGGCAGGAACCGAAAACCCCCAGGAACGAAGAACGCCACTCCAGGAACGAAGAACGCAACCACCGGCTTCCACCAGGAACCAGGAGCCACGACACACCAGGCGACACCGGAGGGGACACCGGAGGGAGAGCATCCCGGAGCTCCCTTGAGGTCGTCCAGCAAGAGATGGCCCGGGATGCCCGGAGGTTCGTGAGGTGATTCCTCCGTCGACGTGGACGTGAAAACCGTCGTCAAGGGATGTTTGTCTGCGTTTGGGTGGGTGACCAATCTAGACACTTGCAAGTTGAAAGACGAAGGACGTATGAAGCAAAAATGATGAAACATGAACACACAATTTGTTCTGACCATTTCCCAATACCATTCCTCCACCCACCTATCAATACCACCTGTATTTGTCGAGAACAAATATTCTCCCAAAAGACCGGTTGAAGAGCTTCAAGGTTTTACATCTTGATACGATACGATACGATACCATAAAAATCAGATTCCGTTTTTTATTCGTGCATTTGTTTCATCAAAGAATCAGTGGGAAGTTACTGAAGTTACCCTCCCTCCAAACATTGAAGTGGACAACCCCCTGGTTTCTATCCATTCGGAATATGTTTAAACGGTTTTTTTCCCCCGGGCGCTTTTCACTCACCTTCCGTGACTGTGGGCTCTGTGGGCGTACTTCGCTCTTCGCTTCCCCGGACGACCCTGACGCCGACCGCGCCCAGGAGCGGCAGTGCCTTGGCCGGTCGGATCCGGCTCCGTCGAGGGAGGGGAAGCTTGCGCGGGTGGGGTTCAGCGACCAAGCAGTTCGGGCTTCGTGAAGTCTGCCAAGGCAGCAAGTCAAACTTGACATGTTGCCAACTCCCCCCATGTCACCCCTTTCTCACCATGGTGATGGGTATATTCCTTTGTTTGTTTGGGAAGATTGATGGACTGAAGGTCAGACTCCTAGGGAACGTTCGGTACTTCAACAAGGGCTGTCAACATACAACTGATCAATTCGCTCAGTTTTGGCCGCAAGAGAATCCTGATAGTGTCCTGACGGTCCTTTGCAACATACTGCGGAAAATCCTGTTCGCCCAGCGAAGAACAGCGTTCGCATGTTGAATCCATTTGTCAAGGTCAAAGCACGTACAATGAGATATAGTTATAATATGCTATAGTATATATACAGTATATCCCCGATTAATTATTGTAACTGTATGTAGTATAATACGTCATAATACGTATGTTATAGTATGTGATACTGTAGTATAATATGTTATATATGTATATACACGAATCCTCCCCATGAAAGAAGTCACAGGGACAAATGATGCTGTCGATGCCACGCTTTTCTCCTGAGGTTGCCGTGCCTACTCCTGCTCCAGCGCTTACGAGAGGTTCCATTGCAGTGCGCAAGCAAGAGAGAGAGAGAGAGAGAGAGCGAGAGAGAGCTATGGAAAAGTAATGCGCCAAACCTTTGGTGGCAAAGACCAGGACTGCCAGGACTCTCCAACAGGTCACCACCAACAACGTTTTCGAGTCCAACGTTTTCGAGTCCGTCGCGCCACGAGGAGTCGTGGTTCCCCAAACAAGACATGTGACACAGGTGGGTTTCGCTCACCTAGGACCTAGAATCTACGCGTACCAACTGTTTGCGTCTGGGATGACCTGGCTGGACAAGCCCGCGCTACTTACATTATAGGTCTCCACTGGAAATTGATCCGTGCCCAAACTGGCTTTCGTATGCTTTTGTGCTTCTCCGCACAAACCGGTTCAGGCGATATTTTCCACTGCCAGAGATGGCAGCTAGCCTGCAAACATTCCTTTGATTCAACACACAATTCATAGTTGATTTCGCTCTCATCTCATCTCATTTTTTCCCAATGTTTGTATATGTATATCCCCGAGGATTCCACGTGGAAGGGACCGTTGACCGAATTAAGTGATGACAACGTCATGTGCTGAAAAATCGAAAAGAGCTTTCCGGGGATCCATGCAAGTAAATATGACCTACACAAAAAAAACACCGACATGTAGGCGATACTTGTTTACATGGATCGTCTGGAAATCATTCTTTGAGTGACAACGGAGGACCGGTGTGCTGACCGACCGGTGTCGGTCGTCCGGTCGGGTCAAAACGGTGCCCTTCCGATCACGAAGAAAGGGCACCGCTGGAACGCCTGGATTGGACAGCTTTCGGACGGGGAATAGGCATGATTTGGTTGGAGTGTTTTTTTTCCAATGTTTTTGACTGTAGTCGTGGTCGTTTGCGTGGTACCATGTTCACCACATGTTGATTCTGTTCGGGTTTCGGTGGAAGCCCGAAACATGTTGCGGATCTCTCGTGTTACAGTGTGTTCCCGGTCCTTTGTTTCTCTGGACATTGATCAATCTTAGCTTTTCGTTGTCTTCCAGGACCTTCCAACAGGTGGTTTTTGGACACCCCTTTACCTCTAAGAAGCTATTATATATATAAATATAGACACCTCTTGGAAGGTCCTGGTTCCAAAATGTCTTCCCAATGCAATTCCATGGCCTGAGCTGACCGCATGTGTCCCGTCCCCTGGTGGCATCCATCGTTCCGCGCATTCCGCGCCACGGCGCCAGTCATCACGCTTGCCAGTGCAACAGCCGCCGGGCCTTTCTTTTACCGCGCGGCCTGTGGTGCAGAAAGGGTTTTTCAGTTTCGGCCAGCCTTCCAAGACCATGGAAAAGAAAGGTTGGTCTGGTGTTGTAGTGTAAAATCCTTAGTACAACTAAGGCTGCTTGGTTTCACACACATGGCATGAATGGTGGTTCAAATCGGAAGAAGTGATTCTGGGTTCTGCGGGTCGGGTCGAACAACAACTTCCCTGGCACCCATTCCAACCACTGAGCCCCACGATGTACACTTGCTCGGGCCCGGGGACGGGTAGACCCCGAAGGACGTGGGCCTGGATCCACAGGATCGATGATCTCATTATATCTCCTTAGACATCGTGGGCCTCGAGAAAGGGTCGAGTCTGGTTTTTATCTTTTTTTCGCCTTCTCAGTGCGAAGTGGCGACGGAGTCACCCACGCGCACTGGTCACATCAAAGGTTAAAATGAAGATTTCATACTGAGCACGTTCATTGAAAAGCTCACATTTTTCCAGAATACCTGAGTTTCGATTAGCGAATTTCCCTGCGGTTAGACATTGCCCATGTCATTCTATTCGTTCTCTCGTCCAACCTGCAGTGAGGCCTCTGCAAGCGCTTCGGCAACTGCTGTCGCCTAGCTGGATGTTTGAGCAGCGCTCGGGAGGAAGACCTTCTACTGTATAAGCCATATGTTCTAGTACGTCGCGACAGCAGAGCAACTCGTGGACTAGTTGGGTTTTGTTAGACGTTATAATATATATATATGTTCCCGCACCAACAGAATCACTTGCATATTAATATAACTATAAAGGCAGGCTTGATGTGTTAATATGTGTTGATTGATTGGTATGGATACAAGAAGAGACCTGTACTCATACTAGAATCCCCATTGGAGAGGGAACAAGGTGCAATACTTCATGAACCCTTTCTTATCTCTGATACGTTCCCAGACACCGACGCATATCCCTTTTCAACCACCCCAATGTGTGTAAATATGTCAGTCCCATGGAGTGTCTGGGGTTGGATGTGTTACTCAGACGACCACCCCGAAGAAGGGACACAGACGACCAAGGGACACGCCGTGTGGGATTCCCTGTAGAATCATGTCGAATCGGTTCACATACACCTGCAGATGCCCAGACACTGACACTAGACTTGCATGTTTACCTGCATTGACACCGTTTCAACCACTCCGACTCCGTAAATATGCCAGTCGCATAGAGTGTTTGGGAATTCTTTGATGTTTGATCCAACCAGGTGGCTCCTCTTGTGGGAGGCATCATGCACTCAGCCTCGGAACCTTTGGGAAAGTCTCGTGATGTCTTGAACATCTCTGGGGCGGGCTTCAGAGGATGCAAAGCAGGAGCCCTGTTGGGTTCACCGCAAACAGGATGAACAGTTCACTCAAACAGGTTCGGCTCATAGATTCTGGCCGCCCTGGCCCATGCTTGGACCAAATCACCCAAATCAAAACTTATCACCCCAAAAATTGTCACCCAAATCACCACATCGCCCACCAATCGCTGGATGTTCCAAGAGTGGTTGAGAGACCTGAACTGGGACCCTGTAGTGCTGCAGTACATATGGGATAGGCTATAGGGCTGTGAAACACCTCGGGAGAGAGGTGAAATCGGGGATCAACCATGAACGAATTTTGGACTATGTAACTCACCCAGCAAGACCGACTGCTGTCACCTGTTTTGGGCGTCGCTGCGCTTCAAGCGCTTCAAACGCCCCTGTCGCGACGAGCGGGTGTGGCACCGACGGGGTGTGGCACTGAGGTTGGGACTACGAGCGAACCTGTGCCACTTGGGCCGTCCGAGCTTGGGGATGGAACCAAACATGGTAAGAATCCGGTAAGAACGGAAGATGATGGATGGATGGATGGATGGATGCTTCATGGGTGGAAGAGCACGAGGTTTCATGGAATGACAGATGGAAGAACATGAACCATACCCCCAAAAGAACATGTATATATATTATACATTTACAATCATTTACATCTTTTGCGCGCAAATTGGGTGGTTTGGAGTCTCGAGTGCAGGGCTCGTGATGTTTCATGTCGAGCACCCCGGGACCCAAGAGCGCTGGAGTCTTTGATTTCCCTGAAAAGTGATTTGGGTGTGTCTTAGAATACGGGGACATGGGGGACTGGCAACGACCCCCTGGAAGAAGGATATAGACATAGACAGCCCATTGGTGTAGGGGTCGGTCTTAAAATACCAAACCCTTTATGTAGGCTGTTGGTGACACGTGGGGTTCGCGTGCGAGTTTTCTTGAAGGCCGAGTTCATCCTCATAACTCATAACAAATTAGCTGGAAGTTTATTACTCTTGCCCATTTTCCTGTCAAGGAAGTTTTGTGTCTTGCCGCACCCAGTCAGAACATCGGATCCAGAAATAGAATCACAGTTTCCCAGCGCAAACTTGGTAGATTTGGATTAACTATTTTTCTCCCTACCATGGTCGCACTCCTACCAGTTCTAGTTGTAACAAAACGATTGTGGTAGCTCTGGTAGAATGTCCCAAAGTATTTGGCCACACTTCCTACCAGACCTGAAAGGCAATCCAGCTCGATTCTTGTGGATTGGTGTAGCTTCATTTACATTCCGGTCCCGATTCTTTTGAACACCCGCAGGTCTTTGCTGCTCATGTGGGCCACCGGCCGAGGAAGAACCGAACATGAAGAGCACACCTAATTAAGTTGGTTTCAATGTTTTTTGAGGGTTTCACACATGAACTTAAGTTGGTTTCACACACACACATGAACTTAAGTTGGTTTCAATGTTAAGTTGGTCTTCTATTCTTTTTGGGGGTGTGACATCAGCTCTCCTCTTCACGAGCATGCCATGCGAAGCCTGTTCTGCACCTCAGGTCGCAGCACCACCTCCTATGCCAGCCTTCCCCCCAGCGCCAACTCCGCCACCGGCGCCAACTCCGCCGCCAGCACCAGCAGCGCCAGTGCCCGCACCAGTGCCGGCACCCCCCGCGCCAGTGCCGGCTCCGGTGCCTGCGCCTACGGAGCCAGTGCCAGTGAGCCTTGGACGCGATGACATGGCCGGAACTTGGGAATCGGGTGCCCCTAACCTCTAAAATGGAACACAGGGTCCAGATTTAGGCCCTCTTATTTGAACTTTTTTGAGCCATACTCATCATACGAATCTTTCAGGCTCGTCCTGGTTGCGAGTGTCCAGTTGACTCACAGCAGGTGAATGCAGCTCAACCCGGGAAAAGGATGAGCTTCGGTAGAGCCAAACACATCAAGTGGAAGGGATGCGACAAAGAATATTTAAGAACGACATCCAAAGAAGCAAACATGGAATTTGTCCTGGAGCTTCTTGCAACAGGCCTTATTCCACCGAAAAGCAATATGTTTGTCACTCAAAACACTTCAATCAATGATAGTTGTAGAGCACGTGCATAGTTCCATCAAATTCCATCGAATTCCACCCATTGCTGGGTTGTCCTTCAATTCTATCTCGAGCTGTTGAAAACTAATACTAGATCCTTATTGATCCTTAGAGGCTTATGGATTACACGGATGACGGATTCCCGAGGCCCTCGCCCACCTCCCCGGCCCCGCCCATGGCGGCGCCGGCGCCGGGCAACGCCGCTGGGCAGACACCGGTGGAAATGAACGTCGCACGTGTTCCAGCGGTGGCGGAGGTCATTGGGAAGTCCCACCTGCCACTCTTAAAGTTAAGTCTCCATTTCAGCATTTTCAGCCACCAGAGGAGAGCTTTTGCAGGGTGCTGGTATAGTATACAACATGTATAGCACGAGAGCCCAGACATGACCTTTGTTTTGATAAGAACAGACAGTGTTTTGGCTCCAACACAGGGGTCACTCAGGTTAGAGGTATATTTGGATTTTGACCGTGGCCCCAGCAGATTGAGAACATGACCACCATGTTGTGTCACCGAATTGGCAGCGTGTCCTTCACCACAAAAGGGTAGAACTCCCCGTTTTTACCTTGTACGTTCAAACTCTGGTATGAAATTCTTGTGGTCTTTTCCACGTCTGCAAAAACCAGATGAAGTTCAGATGGTCTGAAGAGGCCCCAACTCGTTTGACAAAACGGACGGTGAACGAAAAAAGGCGTACAAAGAGATCCTTTTGCCCGCTTTCGCTCGGGTGAAACGGTCAGACATGCGGTCAGAAATCCATTTTCTTATTGACTAATTGTGTTCAGAAATGTTCCGAAGTTCCATTTGGATGGAGTTTGATGTCTTGTTGAATTGACATGAATTGACATATGCATTGCTTGATTGTTTGGAGTTTGGAATTCAATGCACTTTACTTTTAAATACATCAAAAGCAATTTTGACACAGCTTGATGCACCAGAAGGGAGCATTGATCCAGCCAAGCGGCAAGCTTCTACCAAACCACCAAAGAAGAGATGGAATAGTACAATTGGATAGAAGATCCGCAGTGGCAGTCTCAACCCGGCCCCAGCAAGGAACTTTAACAACAAGATCGGGACATAAAGGTCTTAGTGACTATGGGCTCGTGCCCATGCCCATCCTGCCACCCCTCCTTCAAGTTTAAGTTTCAAGCCTGGGCTCACTTCCCACTGTTCAGCCACATCACAGAATTCGGATCCTCCCTGAAGAAAACCCAAGTGTAGTCCCAAGTGTCTTTCCCCCTCAACTCATGAAATCAACAACAAAATTAAGCGGGTCTTTCAGACAGCTCAGACAGCAAGTTCTGTCGGGCCATTGAGCCATGCCACATGCTTGTGACAACCACTTTTGCTATTGAACACGTCGAGTCCATCGCGATAGGCCAGGTCGCCAGAGGCTGATGGTTGGAGCACGTTGACCGAGCATGTTCGGAGCACGTGGACCGAACCGTCGACGAAGCAAGGATGACCCACTTTGGAAAAGGTTGGAGGGACGACTGCTCTCGGACTGTCTAACAGTGCATTCTTCTTCCTTTTGCAAAAACTGGTCAATGGATGCCTAAACATGAATGTCCTTCTTCGTGCAGGGTCACGCCAAAAAGTCCAATCAAAGAGTATATATATACGTCATTTGAACGGCCAAAATTCGTTTTGGACTAGCATTCAAGTAGACCCCCGTCCTTGATCTTTCCATACCCTCCTGATTTTTTCATGACCAACGCCTGTCTCCTTGGCTTGAACCGCCGCCTTTGACTCATCGGTTCGGCGCCTCCGTCACCTCGCCGGGCGCCACTAAGACCCTCCCGGTGGATGTGGCTTCCCTGCCCTGGAGCGGCATCGAAGATTCGTTGAATTCGCCCAGCAATGGGCCACTGCTCCTCGCAAGCAAAACTGCTCGGATCGTCGCGAGACGGATCGTCGGTGATCGATGTGATCGCTACGCGATCGTAGCGTAGCCATGTTGCGATGTGACTTCCTACACCCAAGTGGATGCTGGGCCTGTAGACAGGGGCTAAGTATGTTTCTACCGCGGCTTTGCTATGCTCAGTGAGTGGTTGTTCAGATATATATATATATATATCCCTACGAATATATATATATATATATATCCCTAAGAATCCTTTAAACTCTCCATGGTCGGACCCTCCGTAGCAGGGGTCCGGCCCTCAAAACCACATTTGTGTGTGTTTTTGCTTTTTTTGTTTCTGGACGTCTCTGCAAACCAAGCGTCTCAACAGAACAAAAAAGAACAAACACAACTCAACCGCTAATTTTTCACGCTTGACGTGACATACTTACTATCACCTTATAATTGGTTTCAACCAGAGGGTATTGAGTTCTTTTCAATGTGTTTCAATGTGAGCCAGTGCAAGTTTCTACTCGTACGTTGAGCCAGTTCATGGTCTGAAACGGTCATAGCTCAAGAGGTCCCAGCGGCGTTCTGTTCAGAGATCGACCTACCTACACTCCCTGGAACTCACATGGTTACGTGGCAAGTGGCCCTTGGAAGACCATTTTTCCTCATTGCTCCTATACAAACATTACAAACAGGGAGTTTTCGACTTCCATTTCTTGGTTCCAGGGAGTGTGCTTCTTTCGTTTGGGCATCCCAAGATTGAACGATGGTTCTCCCTTCTTCTGTTGACCACTTGCAAACAGGCTCACGCAGTTGGACGAGGGCTTTTTTTTCGGATGATCAAATCCCCAGAGCGCTGCCAACCCGACGAGCGCTTGGATCCCGTCTCATCATCGGCATGCCGGCTTTTTCGCCCAGGCATGAACCGTCTCCGTCTCCTCTAAAAGCCTTCATCTCTATACACTTTGGTGATCTTTGGTACCGAAGAACCGGCCATGAACCATGACTTTTCCCGGGTCCCCCCCTTTTCACTCCCTCAGTGGGTCCTGGAGTCCCGGTATATTCCTGTCAATCCTCCAGTCGGCCGATGCCAGAAGCCTCCCGTTTCGCGCATGCGAAGAAGCACGCCAACTCACGCGTGAGGCTTACGTTCTACATGTACCGAGCAGTGTCGATGGCTGAGCATCCCTTGGGGAAGTGCTTCCAGTGGTTGGAGTTTGTGCATGTTAGTGCCAACCTCGGGTCCATCAGGACCTGTATGCACTAACATGCACTAACGCCAACCACTGGAATGATGTCTTTGACCTGTATAGAGATATGGACCATCCAGGACGGCTGACCAACTCACCCGGCCGGCGGTTGAAGTTCAGTTGTTTCGAGACCGGTCTCGTGCGGAGGTTGGCCTTGTCTCGACGTCTCAACAAACGAAGAGCTGAAGTGCTTTAGTCAATTTGAAGAGTCCGGCTGCAAGTGTCCATTGTGGGTGCAAAATTGTTGAATCTCGGACCGAACGTTGCTCCTCAACAGCAAACGCTTGGTGGCGAAGACGTTAAATAAATGATCCAAAAGCACTGCAAACGTCGCCTCCTTAGGCATCCTGATCGCTCACCTTCGCCTCCTAAGCTCACCTGATCCCTTCGCAAACAGCACAGACCACCAAGACTTTGTTGACAGACATGGGTTGTTGCGTCTCAATGAGCCACAAGAGATGGGTATAAATAGGGAGACCCTTGGCCCAATAGGGAGACCTTGTCCAACGTTATGCCTTCTTCTGACAGCTGCAGCTGTTCATCCAGTTCATCCAGTTCATCCCGGTTTCGCTGCCTGTTTCTTCTTAACGCATCAAGGTCGGATGAGGTCTATCCTCCTCTGAACGTGAACATGGGAAGAGCCTCGGTGCTCTGAACAAACGCGGAGACAGCATGATGGCGGATTGGGGCACCCCAAACCATGAAGTGTGGCATACCTTTCAGTAATACGTTTGTTTATTTTTTTTTTGCGGTTTTGGGATGTTTTGGGGGGAAGTTCCCAGAAGTTCACAGCATGCTTTGGATTGGGCCAAGACGTTGAACAAAACTTGGGGATGGAGCCAAAGAAGTTGCGGACGTCTTTTGTTGAACCCCCACGAATACACAGAAGTCCCATAGGCCAAAGACCAAGACCACCATGGGTCAAAACTCCTATTTTGACCCCTTCAGCTACAAACCCTAAACCAGAACACCTGGGCTCTGGAGTTAGATGAGTTAGCATGTCATGTTATTCCTGCATGATGAATCGTTTGTCCCCCCCGTCCTCTCCAGGATCGTGTTTGCCATGTTTTGCCTCTCCTGCCGTGGTGGCCTTTGAGTTATCTATCTATTCATTAACCCTGTGTCCAAAAATGGGCCCTGCACTGATTGAGATTGAGAGGTGTTCAGAAGCGATCTCGGAGAAGATATCTCCAGGGTCCGAACGCAGAAACCCCGACCGGTCCAACGTCCGAAACCCAGGTCCTTCGCATCCCACGCACGGCCGAAGGGGTGCGTCCGCGTGAGCGGTGCCGTCCGTTTCGGTCTGGGACCGAGTCGCCGAGGCTTGGCCGGTGTGCTTTGGTATCTTCACCACGAGGCACACCGTACCGTGGAGAGGAGGGGCGGACGGGCCGGTGAACGGAAGGACGGTGAGCCGGTCCGAGGCGCTGTGCACACCCAAAAGGGATGAACTGGGTGGTACAGTGGTACAGAAGTTCTTCCATCAAGAAAGACTATAGAATTTGTGTGGGTGTCAGAATGAATTTGATATCGTCTTCCTTGAAGAAAAAGGATGCACAGTGGTTGAATCAATGACCCGAAATTGTTTCGTCTTGTTTCACACACACTCCCAAGCATCATCTTCCAAGTCCAATCCTTCGACTATACCAGGACAACCCACTTCGGAGATCTTCGGAGTGTGATGAGCATTAACGAACCCTTTGAGGTCACCATTTTCACCACCCTGCTTGGATCCTTTTTGGTCCATTTCACAGTGCCCTTCACTGAAGACCGGCCGCGGAATCAGGTGGTGATCCAAGCGCCTCGGAAATTCGACATCACCCGCATCTTGCGTTACAAGGCAGCCGTGATTTCGCGAAAACGCGGCACGCGCAGGGTGAGTTTGTCAGCCACCGGGGCCCATATGTGAATGGAACGCAAGGAATTCGATTTAGATGTCACACGTGCTGCAGTGTACTGCTAAATGGACCATCAAGCCCACAATAAGGTTTCTTTCTGATGATGGTTGCCTTTTTCCATGCATTCACCTCCTAAGTCCAAAGTTGAAGCCGCAAAGCTTCCGTCGCTTCGAAGTTTGCCTTTTCGATCATGGCCAGAGATGGCCAAATACAGAACCACTCGGTTCCTATTCTGGTGCATTGCCCGGATTGAAAAGACGCACTGACATCGTTTGACATCCAATGACAGGTACAGATGCGCGCCACCACTCCTTTGCTGAACCTGAACATGAACTTTGGCGTTCGTTTGGCCTTCGACAAGGGCCAGGCGCGACGGCTCCCCCACCACTCCGGTCGTACCTCAAAGCTGGTGCGCACCTCCTCGCTGCATAGGATCGGTTTGGAGAAAATTGATGGCCCCCACCGACCCCTCTTGGTCAGAATGGAAAGGGAGCGGACCTCTTCCTCTCCGCATCTCCCGTCCCCAAAGAGGTCCGGTCGCCAGAGATTTGGTCCGTTTTTTGGTTCCTAGAACCTGATTGACCCCTGTTTTGAAGCAAAGACACAGTCTTTTCCTACCAAAACAGAGTCAGAGGTCAGTTGGTTTCTATAGTATATATATATATATAGAGAGAGACCTCCTGTGTGAGCGGATGTTGGGACCTTCTTGTGGCAGCATTGGTTCATGAAAGGCATGAACTGCGCTGGCGATTTGACTATTACTGTCTCATACGTTCTCTGTCATTCCAGGTTCAGCAAAAGTTATTGTCAATCGAAGGAAGAGCGGATGGTTGGTGCGTCATAGAGGGACATGGGGTCACCAACCAATTACATTGACATGACTGTCACACGTTCTTTACACCTGGATTATCTTGGATTGACATGGATTTGAAGCGTTTCTCCTTAACCTGACTGGAGTTCACACCATAGATGGCCTTTTACTATTGGGTAGTTGATTTACATAATAGAGGGGATACCCCCAAGTGAACAACCAACATAGGTATATATGGTACCAAGCGGACCCCTCTATTCAAAGGACATCATTGGTTCACACTTCATCACACTTCTTTAAACACAAAAGAGATGTTTGTTGCCGTCGTCACAGCCGTTGGCCGTTCCAGGCTACTGGTCCCTTCGTGTGTGGCCGTGAGAATGTCACAGCAAAGGATGGCACCACAGCAGGAGCCCAACACGGACAGGTCCTGACCGAGCGTGTGATGGCTTCCATTGGATGTAGAAGGTCAAAGTGCTTCAGGTGAGTGTGGGTCAGCAAAGATTCTGTTTGGGTACCGCTGGCCTGTTTAGTAGCACAGCATGTTGGTTTCAATATGTTTCAATCAGATTGATGGATCCTTCTAAGTCAGCGGCATAGCAGCCGAACCAGCCAGCCAGCACCACTCAGTTTGGATGGTGATTGGATGCAGGCGGGGTCAATCGGGGTCTATAAAAGAACGCCGAGTGCCTGGGCTGTGCTAGGTTTTCGATTGTTTGCATTGTTCTGTTTTCTTCTGGTTTTACATCCCTACTTGTACGGTCCCTACGTCTACGTCCCTAATTTAATAAGGTGACGCTGATGTGACGCATGATTCCCAAGAATCCTATATACCAGCATCTTCAAATGGGTCTCCTGGCTGGAGGTCCCTACGCTACTATCCGGGATCTCCAGTCAGGACACCCCTTGCACTACTTATTTTTTTGGGATCTCCAGCCAGGTCCATTCAACACCCCTTTTTGTGGCCCAGGTAGGATTCAGCATGTATCAAAAAACGACGTTTGTTCAATTCTTTGCCATGGTGAAAAGCGGCCGCGACACGTTTCGCCGTCAATCCCCAGGAGTGAAGCCCAAGTTTTGCGGCGATGGCTCTCCCTTCGAGGAGCCATTCGCGACGAGCTGTTCGAAGGGACGAGCCGTTCGCGACCGGATGGACCGGTGAAGAGGAACACATCCTGGTCGATGGAAAAGTATGTCCTACCCTGGATAGGACGTTACTATATAATGATCCTTTTTCCGGTACTATGGATTGAGAGATGGCACAGACCCCAAGGTCGGTGGTTTAGGACCCCCATCTGTCTAGGACATCTTGGGGTCTGTGCCATGGAACCTCTGATGGCCCACTGTATATCATGTCCTGTACCGACTAAGTGGATCACCTGCAACCAACACCTTTTTTCAGGGGGCGAGGGCGGGGTGGACACCCCACTGGAGTGATAGAACAGCGTGGAAAGGGAAAGGCGTGGTTCATCGTTGTCTTTACACGGGAAAAGGTTATCTTAGAGCCTTAGACTCAGCCTGAGAATACCTGAGAGTATCGCGTGGGAAAACATCATCACTTGGATCCACAGTCAGATTGGTTATTACTGGTGCCAAGCGATCTATATTGCAGTTTTTTAAAAGTTCATTCTAGTCAGCTGAGTGTGATCCTGCTTCGGGGGAACTTCTCAGGTAGGCCTGGAAAGTTCGAGGAACCTATCCTGCATCTCGAGGTCCTGATTTTTTCAGTGCTTTGGCTTCTTGTTACTAGTAGCGATAGCCTCCAACCTGCAAGCGATGGCCTCCACCCTAGTAGCTTCTTGCTTCTAGTAGTATTGCGGTGCTTTGGGGTTCTTCCTGTCCTTTTGAGTTCTTCCACAAATTCCAGACCATCGCTCGGTCGTGATGGTCCTGTGCCTTCTACGGGGGGTGTCGGAAGTCTTGACCCAGAAGAACATAGGGAGACCGACGCCAGGCGTCCCGGGTCCCGACCCGGAACAAGGTACATATAGACCTGTCGACCATTAGATGATCAACGACTCAAAAGGTCAGATGGTCACAGACCCTGAAAGCAAGAGTTTCGGACTCCCCGTCTTCTCCCCGCAACCTGTGGTCATTGAATCTTCACCGAACTGGTCTTGGTCCAAAACCGTCCCCCCTGAGTCATCTGAGTCGATCGAGGGTCCAAAACCGTCACCGACCGAGTCATCGACCGTCGAGTTGACCTCGCATTGGCAGGAGCAATGGCTCGGGACCATGCAGCCATACAAGAATGATTTTGACTCTTGACCAATGGGCCTGGTCCGGCCATTCGGGTTCCTATCATGAAATATGCAAACAAACATCGGGGGAACGGGGGACGAGAGACAGATGGAAAAGGTCAAGGATATGCCGCTATACAGTATGCCCCTTGATTTCCAAGCAACACTCAGGGAGTCACGTAGGCTCCTGGGCTACACTTTGTTTCCCTCCAAACGATCCCAACATGCGGTGAGTGAGGTAGCCATTCATGTAGACTCTCGATTAACAACCCTAAACCCACGTGAATCGAACAATTTCTGTACATGGGGGGGTTTATTAATCATGCATCATCATCGCTATCTACGTATCTATGCGGCCGTCAACTTGGGTCTTTTGCAACCACTGGTGACTCCTGGGGACAGAACTATGTTGAATTCCCGTTTTTTCCCACTGAGAAGCATTGACCAAAAGAACAGACTCTGGTGGATTCGTACAGGCTGCGACCAACTGAGCACCACAAATGGGTATCTCTTTAGCTTTGAATGGTCTACAAGGCGACCAACTGCATCCACTGGATGTGCGGTGTCCGGCGATGTGCTTGACGCACCCAGTGTCAGCCGTGGACGGCCGTGGAACACCTTCGTTGGACTTCTGCCCACCTGGAGACCGACTTCTCAGCGACCCGATGACTGGACTTCGCAACGAAGCGAGAGGTGCTGGTCTCCATGGTGATTAGACCTCAGAATTCATCATCAACTTCTGGGTTGGAGGAACACTCTGCAGGTATGAAACCAATGTGGAACTGGCCGTTGGTTGATCCGCTTCACTGGGTTTCTTGGTCAAAAGCTCAAAGCACTCCTTGCTTCGCAGTGGGAACTGGCTGAGGAATACACTGCCTACGGTTACAACGTGGGCTGCAACAAGCTGGGCAACTATCCCTTCCCCATGGACCCCGTGAAGCTTGGTTGCGGATATTTGCGGATGATGGGCGGGCGAATTTGTTGGGATTTGGATGGATGATGGATTTGAAGTGCCAACGGATGTGCCGACCCCTGTTAGCCACTGGATCCCTCAATCATCCCAAACACTCCATGGGAATAATATATGCCTACATGGACACCCCTGGCACCACCCGCCCTAGGTAAGCATGTGAACAAATATGCATACATGACAGTGTCTTGGATGCTGAGTGATCTGAGCGGCCAGCTGACCAGCTGAAAAGGGATCCTGAGGCCCTGAACCAACGCGAGTCTGAAGCATCAGCATGAGTCTGAAGGAGGCTACCCAACCCAAACGGTCTCATATATTGTATGAGACTTTGGGTGGTTCTAGTAATTTATAATCAGGAATATGTAACAATGTAGTATACAAAGGAATTTATAAATGTACAGTATAATATACATCCCGGAGCACCTGGATATGTTTTTGCAATTGGTCACAGCAGTTTGTCTTTACCTTCCCAACGCAGCTGAGGTACTACCCGAATGCCATTTGGCCGCTCGGAACTGCTAAAAAACAGCGAGTGCAGAACGCACTGGGAGGTTGCCCCGCTAACCACCCTCTTGTGCTTGACTGAATGGAAGTCCAAGTGTTGGACATAGTTTTCCACGTTATTGCAAATTCCGAAGTTTCGTGAACTTTTGGAACGGGTATAAGAAAAAGAAACATAATGTGTGCTTGCCGCTCATTTTGTGGAATTTTGGAATCCCATCTTCCCCCTATACTAATACCATTGGCAAGACCAATCTGGTTTGGAAGGAGCGCACAGCTTGCTCAGTCACAGTGGCCAGCTGTTTCTGGAGCATCACTGCCGGAGGGCTGTTTGGGTTCCAAGTCCCAATGGTGGGATGAACTTTTCTCGAAGTCAAGGCTGCACGGTGACGATCTCCACACACCAAATATCACAACATGTATACCTAGCACTTCCAAGGGGTGCCCAATGGAGACCTACAGTATATAGGTAGTGTGGAGATGTCCATTGGTAACCCCTTGGAAGCAGCTGGTATAGATACACGTTTCTTTCTTTTCCAAAGTTGAAACTGATACCAGGACCCGACAAAATGAGACCTGTTAGAGCCCAACAACCCTTGCACTAACGACCTGTTGGCAGGTCCTGGTAGGGATTTTTCGTCCCCTGAAAAAGGACGATCTCGGAACCAGGAAACCCGTCGAACGCAGGGTGCGAGGTCCATTCTTCCGGTTCATTGTTAGCTTCACATGTCCAAACATTTCCAAACCAATCAAAACAAGGGTTGGACCATTGGTGCATTTGGGGGGGGGCACTTACGCTTACTGCTGCGCAGTGCTTGGCTGGAAGCAGCCAGCAGGGCGCATCTTCACGTCCAAAGGATCGAGACATATGCGCCTCGTCGACCGATGGGTCTCTTCCAGCTGCTTCCGTTCGGGGTCACGTGGCTGGACATCTCCACACTACTTACATACAGGTCTCCCTGTTCAGGGCACCCGGTTTTTTTGGAAGCGCGATCGGGGGCCAATCTCTCGACGCTGGGGCGGTGAAAGCATCATCGAGGTTTGCTTCCACGCGATATAACGAGGTCCCTTTTTCATCCTTTTTCTAGGATTTGATTTGGACTTGGGGTGAACGTTCCTTTCCTTCCATGGGCGACCCAAACCCCGCCCGTCCGGAGCCCGTGGAGTTGGCGAGGTACACCGTTCCTGGCCCATGTCCCAACAACTTGCAACTGGGAGGAGCTCAAGAAAGGGGGAGGACGACTGCAGGACGACTTGCACTGTTTGAGCGTAAACATATAATTGGTTACTGGAGACGTTGCTGAATGATGCGAGATGCATCCAGCAATGGAATTACGCCATCCATTATCCAATACCATCCAATACCCAGTTAATGTGCGCTTCTACATTCTTTATCATAAAATACTTTATGAAGGCAGGCCATGGCCGGGTTGACTTATATAACATATATTTATATAATGTATCCACCCGCCGATTGCATACGACTAGGTCTTGTTGGGACTCCAGAGGTGACGTTTTTCTGGGCGCCTGGCGTCTCCAGGAGGTATCTGTTGGGGTCCGCGCATGCAAGACGATGGAGCGACCATCGTCTGTCATGGCGGTCAATCATGGCGTGGTGCAATGATGTGCTTCACTGTTTTCTGCTGACCAAATACCTTTTGTGGGGGGCCAATTGCACCTCCAAGATCTTGGGTAGGTGTGATGTGTGATACCAAAACCAGGGGGGGTTCTAGGATTCCATGATAGAAGGCGTTTGGATAGAAGCATGTCCCAATAGTGTGTGTGCAAATTGGTGTGTAAATGTGTGAACATAACATTGGGGACACCTCCCGTCCCAGGCGTTCCGACCTCCTGGATGGTTCGGAACATAGACCAGTTGCCAAGCCAGGGGAGATCTTGGGGCCTCCATATCAAGATACACACCCAACTAGGCAGTCTCACATTTCTGAGGTACTACAACAAGAAGGGCTCCTGCCAAGCCACTCAGCCTGGTGGCTACTGCCCGGGTGTCGTTCCCAATGGCAATGGCACCTGCACCTGGAACTATGAGGAAGCAGGCGCTGACTTTGTACCCGACGAAACGGGCACGCTGAAAGGGAGTTTGTTGGTGGCTTGCATGTTGCAACTAGTTGGAGGTTGGTAGAGGACATTAACTGGGCACAGAAAACCAAGCAACCATATGGGGCCAATTTTCAATAGTGATGTTGAAGTTCTGTGCTAGTCTTGGATGGATTCAATCCCACAATGCCGAGTAAGTCGGAGCAAAGGAAACCCTTCCGGAAGACGCTCATGTTGATATGGCCAAGTGATCAACTGCAGGACCTGAACAACAAAATGTCAACCCCCATGAAGATCAATGGCTTTATATGGCTTTGCAACACCATGATTCTTGTTTGGAGGACACACCTATCAAATCCAGCCAAAAACGGAATGGATTGTTACCAAAGAACGGAATGGCCACTGCGATTCTTCGTGCCTTTACCATCCAAACGTGGTTGCTTGTCTTTCGGCTGGCGCCCCACAGGCGAGATCGACCTCAACGAGTTCCTCGGTGAAATCGCCAGGACTCCGTGTCGATACGTCTCCAGGTCTCATCAGGTCTCCATGTCGAGGCACCTGGTGACGAAAGTCTGTGAACGATGTTTCCCACCCACTGGGTGCCCACTCCACAGTGTGTGTGTCTTTCTTTTTCGAAAAGAACCTGCCCGACTCCGCAGTGTGTGTCTTTTTTCGAAAAGAACCTGCCCAAAAGCTATATGTGTTTGGGGGAGCCCTGGCGAACCGGCGGGCGGAGAACGGTGGAGCGTGCGTTTTGAGGGCGATCGAGCATCCACTCGCATCCACTCATGGCGACGAGCGATTCCGAGCGGTTCTTGAGGCTTGTGGGTATCAAAGACTACAACTCTTGGAGGCAGGTCTTGCGCGCAGAGCCGGTCTGGAGCTTCATCAAGACCCTTTGAAAGGTTAAAGTTGCCTGGATCTTTCAGATTCTTTCAGTTCAGATCAGTTGTTGTTTTTTGGTTGTTTTGCTGTGGGGAGAGTATGGTCGAACCAAGCCGGAACGCTATAGCATCTATACTACAGTATATAGAAGTATACTTAGAAGTATATCAGTGATTCTCCCACATTTACAGACAGGATGACCAGTCTGCGATGTGAACTGTCATGAGTCGGTCTGAGGTGAGGTTGGATGTAATCATGCAACGCGTATCAACGCGTGCAATACGGCCCCATATACTTAGTTTATTTCCTCCATTGACCTGCATGGGAAAAACCCGCACGGATGTCTTCTTTCTTTTTTTCGCACCAGCGCCCGCGCGCAGATGGTCTCATCGAGAATACGATCCTGAGACGGACAAAGGGATCGCTTTCAGTGACCTGTCGAGAGTGGGATGCAAACAATTTTGGTGCGACGCCACACAGGAAGCCAGTACCCGGTGCAAGGTCCGCACCATTTTACTCACAGTGTCCGATTTTCATGTGAATGCTCAGTTGGGGCAGAATAAAGAGGATTGGATTGAAGGCATGCAGAAGCCCATGCCAGATCGAATGCATTATGTCTATAATTTTATATGTACCTAGTACCAAGTATATACCTAAGTTTGCCAGAACATGAAATTCTGACTGCATCCTGAGCACGCTGTTTTTGTGGTTGTATGTGAAGGGGAGCTGTGGTGGACATCCCAGTTTTTTGAACTCGATGGGTGAAAGCATTCTCCATGTACCTCAAGGTTCTCGAGTTGGACACCAATTGGTGTATTTTTGATAGGGAGACCCTGGCCCAAGGGGCAGACTGGAGTATTTCCCTTCTTCCAGGGGGTCGTTACCCGGGAGGTTGTTATGCCAATTCATGGTGTTTTACTTCCTCCATCGAGCAAGGCATCAAATCTCCCCCATGATCCCATGCGATTTCTCCATGAAAAGGCGATCTTCCACTCTTGAGGCCTAACCTGGATGTACATGATCCAGAAAGAATTGTTGTTTTTATTTGGCTTCCCGGTTGTATGAAAAAGAAACACGAACCGCGAACCCGTATACAGATCGATGAAGCAAAACCCAGCTTTTACATGCATGAAAGCACGCATGAAAGCTCGTAGTTCAGCTCGTTTGAAGTGGGTACGCCCTTGGTTGGGCCTTTTTCGCCGACCATCCACACCAACCACATCGGTCGGACCCACCCCAAGCGGTCGGACCGAGGCTGGTGGGATGGCATCGACAATGCCACGGCCAACGCGGAGCGTGTCCGGCAGGCGGGGCGTCTCCGTCGGACCAAAGGAGCGCAGGCGGATGGAGGTCTAAGGAGGTGTATATACCTAAGGTATAAGGATAAGCAGGGTAAGCAGATGATGGTGATGATGGTGAGTGATTCCTTCTAGGGTGTTTCCATGCCATGGGTGTTTCTACTATTTTGAGGCTTGTTTTTCTGGCCAGATGAGAGTCTAGAGATGTCGAAAACATGATCAACAACATGTCGGTGGATACTCATAGAAAGTGAATTCCTGGTGGTGAGTCCCCGACATGTTGAGTCAAACCAGTTCAGCCAGAGGAGACAATAAACCGAAGCGATGCTGCGATTCTGCGATTCGTGGCAGGCGGTGAAGCTCTTCAACAGCAGGCCGGTGTGAGACTGTTTCGGTCTTGGTGTGCTCCCATCCGAGTCACTCATCCGTTTCAGTTATAGGAGAAATGAAGGAAAAACCAAGGCCCTTCCCTTCAAAACATCGGTCAACCAGTGGTGAACTCCTAACCTCCCACCTCCACCCTATGTATTTTTTTGCGCCCTGACAGTCACCTCCATGACCTGAACACTAGGTGAGAGGTCACTGACGCCTCACGGTCCAATCCTTCTTTGTTTCAGATTCACGGTCGGCAGACATCCCGACGTCGAATGTCTCACTCTTCAGAAAGGTGTCGAAAGCATCCAGTCCGGGATCACAGAAAGCCTTCAGTCCGGTGTTTTGCTCATGATTGGTCTTTGCTTCATGGTGACACCATGAATCACCACGACTTTGATATGTGTTTCCGGTGTTTGTTTCAGTCCGGTGATTCATGGTGTCCCCCAAGTCATGCCCGATCCGTTCCGCCACGTTCCGCCCACGCTCCACCACCGCCGACCTGAGGGCGAAGCACCGACCCGCAATGACCTGGCTTCGTGCGACCTGGGGTAGTGGACCCATTGATGGTTTGAAGAGATGTGTTCCCGGAATCCACCAAGTAATACACTCCCTGAAATCGTCATGTTCATGCAGAGGAACGATATGAGAAGAGCAGTAGAGACGCCTTAAAGCTTTGTTTTGGCTCAGTGGCTCAGTGATTTGGGGTTTCTTGATATACATGGGCAGGCATGGGCAGGGCACCTGAGATTTTGGGTGGTTACGGGGTCAAAGTCTGACTGGTAATTAGGTTTATAACCCGACCTACTGCGCTACATAACCCCGTGAACCAATGGAATCAATCATCTAGTCATGTTTGGAACCGTTGGCCACTTCCTCCCTTCGGACAGGTATCCTGACCTGCCAACGGTCGCCACTTGGCTCGCTGGGTTGGATTGACATTCTTTATTATTAATGACACCAGGAGGACGATCCAAGACTTAGAGGGCAATCCAAGATTATAGGGACCATTGGGACCATCCAAGACATACATGACATTACAGGACCATCCAAGGGTTTCTTGGAGCATCCTGCACACCAAGATGAGCTACACTTCGTGTCCCGGTGCAGGACATTGATTCGGGCACCCATATAGTATAGAGCCGACTCCTCCAGCGTAGCCGCGTAGCGTGGGACGATCGCGTTTTTCAAGTTTCTGGAGCAAATCCGTCATCGGATGCAGCTCGATGGAGCTCGAGCGGAGCTGAGAATCGTTTGGGAGTTTAGGAGCGGATCATCGCTCCTTTGATTTTTTTGTTTTGACCGTTGAAAGGTGGTGGTTTCGAGATGGGAAAAAAACATGTTATTCTTTTAAAACACCCTGTTTAAACCTACCGGGACCATCCTGTCTGGGTGTCCTTGGATGGAGATCCCTAAGTACCGCGCCGTCACGGCGGCGAAGTCCTCCAACTCGGTGAGTTGGAAAGCACTGGCTTTGGAAAAAACACTTGTTGATTCCTTTTGGGGACCCATGGGGATGATTGATGGAAAGAATGATAATGAGTGCAGGTTCTGGGAACATGGAACATGTATTGGACACATTGCTTGTGTAGGCCAACTGCAGATGCTCTGGAATATTGGGTTGCTAATCATATCATTTGGTCATTTGTTTTATGGATTTTTATGGGTACATCCAAGCCGCTGAAGAATGATGCAGGTTGACCTCTTGATGCGTAAGGCCTGTATCTTAGACGGAGATCTGTGAACCTCCTGGCTTGGAATCGGTGTGTATGCTGTAACCGTTGTTACACTGGGTCTATTTTTCAATACCCCCGCGTGAATTGCGCGTCTCTCTCGTTGGATGGAAAGAGCGACCAAAACAACCCAACCGGGCGGCAAGTCCTGAAGCAACTCTCGAAGCGACAGAAGTTAAGAGCTATTATATATATATATACAAAATCAAACACATCAATATCCCTCAACAAATTCAAGAGGACTTCCAGTAGGACTTCCGTTTCGCCTTCCGGGCGGTGTGATTCTTCCGAAAGCACGCTGAAAACTCACCGATTGGTGTTTGTTGCCTGCAAGACCTCGGCACGACGGTCGTGCCCGGTCTTCTTCCGACCGTCCTTCTTCTCCGCCATGGGTCGTCGCGGACTGAGGAGGAGCTGGATAATCCGCCCTGCGACTTTGACTTCGGATTGTTTTACAAGATCTGGTACCGAAAGGATGCTTGGATAGGCATTGGATGATGGATGATGATGGCAATGGCAATGGCATGTAAAGAATTCCACCGTTTCACCATGTTTCACCGGTGTTTAGATCTGTGACTGTTGACTGTTTGGAGAGTGAAGGTGCCAATGGGTCCGAACAAGCATTGGAATTCGAGGAATCGCCAGTGACACTTAAATTGTTTGTTGTTTGGGGCGTAGTGCGTAGGTTTGTGTTGGGCAACGGCAGCCATACATGACCAACCATCAAAAAATAACGATCAATAAAAGCAATACAAACGAAAATGAAAATGCAAAAGCAGCACAATTTGCTTTGTTTTTGCATTTGTTTTGCTGTTTTTTTTCTTTTTTCCTGGTACCACTTCTGCACTTATGATCACGATATGAGAACTTTTACCCGTCAGCAATATTTGCTGTACGCTCCCAGGGAAAAAGCGATAAAAAAATGCGAAAATATAGCGAAAAAAATGCGAACATAAAGCGAAACATAAGTGAAAAAAGCGACAAACACGCACAGCTACATTTTTTTGCTTTTTTGTTTGCTTTACCTTTTGCTTTGTTTTTTCTTTGTTTTTGCTTTATAGAATTATTTTGGCTCCTTGTATCTATGGCTGGCGCGCCCGACACAAGCGTAGGTACTGGCTAATCCAAATGCTTAAGACATGCATAACATGTTGTTGTTGTTGTTGTTCTGAGAAATCAAGAGCATTGACTTCCAAAGACATGATGGTTTGAAGCTACTGTACCTGATGCTCCTATCGCAAAAGATGCCAGGGTTTCCACCCGCTTCTTTGCACACTTTGAGTCTCAAAGCGAGGAGTTTCCCCACCCAATAGGTGATTGGTCATGCTGGTCAACTTTTCAAAGCATGCCTTCAAAGCAGTGTCCATGTACTGGTAAGGAAACAACGGATGGAATCGACGATGGAACGTGGCAAACCAGCTGTTTGATGCTGTTTGTCAAAACACATCGGTGTACAGGGGGCCTGGCTGCCATCCCCTTCACCATGTGAGTGACACTTGGAGTGTCCAGTACAACTTCGTTTGAGAATGTTTGAAAGAGGCCGGTTTGGAGGTGTGAGGTGAGTCACCCCACAAAGTGGAGGAGCAGAGCTCCTGCTTGATTGAAGGGTTCCAATCAATGTGGTTCTTGGTTTCAGTTGCGATTGTTTAAACGCAATACAATAACTAAATATATACGACGACCTTAATATACACACATACAAGCCTACAGAATCAAATAATGTTGAAATCACCGGTTTAACGCGTTTGCAAGCTTTCGAAAACGCAGCCCCTTTGAAATGGTTGGCCCAGGATGGTTACACTGGAGGAACATGTGGGCCAGCGAACAAGAAGTGCCAAGGCCCGTCGGAGTGGGGATCCACATCCCCTCAAGGCCGAGCAAGGCAAACATCACTTCAAAGACACATGTCCCCCGTGATTGGGACTGGCATATGATATTACATATAGGATCATACAGGCATGTTTTCAGGGATCAGGTGAATATGCGGCTGGGACCGGTGGGACTGGTGCACCTCGTGGTGGACAGGCGAGGTAGGACGGACTTGCAGGTCCTTCACCGCCAAGAAGGGAAGCGATGAAGGGACCGAAGATGTATACAGTATATAGCATGGCCATAGATGGCCGGACCATGGATGGATACCTGGATGTAGAAACAGGTACACGTTTGAGTTGAGTGTCGGTGCTGGTTGTTTGGATGAAGAAGCTTTGGTGAAACTGGCTAGGACGTTCCCTCATGGATCTTGGTTGAACCAGTTCAGGACGGAACGAAACGAATACTTTTTGAGGCTGGACAAGAAGGATTGAAAAAGCGGGGAGTCCAGTCTCCAGAAGGGGGGTCCAGCCTAATCAAGAGTCGAAGCTGCTGAAAACGTCTTCCGTTTCGCCTGGGTCCAGCTTTTCCGCATCCCATGTGCGCATCCAACCGCGTCGCACGAGGTAGCATCTCTTGGATCCGGCATGAAGGCGGAGCACCGAAGAACGGAGACGGGTCGGTGTGTGGAGACCTCCGGAGAGCATGGAAATCAATGAGGGAAGCAAAGGATAGCAAGGTTTTTAATTGGACAATTTGTATCACAGCCCGTCAAAACATGTGCTTCCAGTCATAGGCCACGTGGGTATACCAAGAAAAGAGGCTCAGATGCCATGTGGCCCACACACCAACACATCAGAGTCCAGAGATTGGACATACCAACCATGCCCATCTGGGAGATGATTCCGCCCACGGGCGGTAAACCCAGAGTCAGTGTAGGAGGCTGACATCATCTTTGGTTCAAAAGGTTTTACCGTATGGTCCTGTTTCGTCAATGGTTTTATCCATACCAGGGATAGATAATTACACCAAACAGTTTCATCAAGGTCCATTTTTGACCCGTTCCACGCTTCGATGGACATTGGAATCATTGGACGAAGCCTGGGACTGGGTTCGATGATAAGCCATGAGAGGCAAGATGACCCTTAGGATTCTAGATCTTAAAGACGACCCCCCCACAGACAGCCACTACTTGAGGATGTTTTGATCCGAGTCAAGAGTCTTGAACGAGTAAGGAAAACAAAGGAGCTTTTGCACCATATTCATAAGGTTCTAAATGTCTTGGACATCCCCTATGGATCCACATACCTTCTCAGAAGGCGTCCTTGGACCCTCCTGGCGCCTACGTAGATAGTCTCCAATCACCTTCTCAGAAGGTATGTGGATCCATAGGGATCGGATACCTACAAAATCCTACGGGGACCCACGGTGCGGTGGGGCCACCGGAACAGCCATCGCGGCGAAATCGTCGCCGTGTGGCCATGGCCATGGCGGCCGGAGCTCAGATCCGACCCAATCCCATCCAAATCCTAGGGAGAAAGATGGAAAACATATAATTATATATATATATATATACCAGGACCCGACTCTACAGGTCACTAATTGAGACCTGTTAGGGTCCAACAACCCTCAACCAGCAACCTGCTGGTATGTGTGGCCTTGCAGAGAATCCTTCACTTCACTTTGCAAACCTGACGAACGAAGAAAAAGGGGATAATCAGACATGCATGATTCATGCACATCACTGACACGATTCATGCAAAAGGGGCACAGGGATCCATGCTTCGTAGTATCGCCGAAGCATCTTCCGCTTGATGTCCATACGAGTGGAGAGGTCTCCACATGACCACCGAGTCACCGAGACACCGTTCCACCATCGTTTCATGTTCGTTTGGTTTAAGCCGCATATTATACATGTCTATCACTGTCTATACACTCCGTGGGATTGGCATATTTATATAATATACATTGACCCCTGAAGACAATCCCAATGTAGGCCATATATAAAATGCCAATCCCATGGAGTCTTTGGGTCATAGATCCTTGAGTAGCTATGAGTGTTTCAATTTGCCGGGTCACGGTTTGTGGACCCGGCTACGGTTTGTGGATGTCAGTGCGTATCACCGGGGCTCCAGGTCATCACCGGGTCACTGGCGGTCACTGGCTCTGGGGAAATGCAACAACAGCTACTGCTATGCTGCTATGCTGCCGTGCTCCATTTTCGGTTGGTGATGGTCCGGTTGTACGACCAGCCCGGCTGGACTCGCAAGGACATGCGTCAGGTGCAGTAGACTATTGATTAATCAGCGTCTTGCAGTTGGATTCTAAATCCGAAACCTCTTCCTCTCGGGTGATCAAGGGCCCAAGGGCCCTTGCGGGTCGCGGGGGCTTTCGGGGGCTTTCGGTCCCAATCGGAGAAAGTTCTCGAATTAGCAAGCAACGGAGTAGTATCAGCCTGTATCGGATCCCATAGACTCCATGGGACTGCCATATATGCCGATCAATTGACCCCCCAAACCACTCCAACTGATCGGCATATGGCAGTCCCATGGAGTCTATGGGGATGGAACCTGGAACATCTAGGAACCGTGTGAAAACTCATGGGAACCGTTGCATTCTATGGCATTCCATGGCATGGCTCGGCTGGTCGAGTGCTCAACCCGTTGAAAGAGCAAGTCCCAAATGATCACGTTTCGACGTTCGACTGCGTGGCAGGTGCAGAGTCTCTTGTGAATAGTGGGGTTTGGGTGTTCAGTTCGAAAGGTTGCTTTTGGGGAAGCAGTTGAAGAACCCTTGTCTGGGGTTCATTTCAGTTGACTCTCCGAGAGAATTCTTGAGCTAGCGGGCGATATCGCAGCTCAGCTCTCCTTTGCCTCCATGCTTTTCAGACGGTGTAAGAAAAAAGAGGATCAGTACTGTCAATGAAAACGCTGTGTTTGACAGGCTCAGCATGTGCACCATTAGGGATAGGCGAAAACGCCGCTGATTTGTGCGGCGAGGGAGTTCTAGGCACTGCCAGGCCCGTGCTGCTGCATCGCAGACACCGACACAACCATACGCAACCTATGTGTGGTTTGCATGCAGGTGTTTCATTGTGTTCCAATCTTATTTTCGATTAGAGAAGTCGGTTTACACAACAACGTGAGAGACATGATTCCATGCCCTGAGTTGAGGCCCTGAGTTCAGGCAAACCAGTGATTTGATCCCAGCAAAGTTTCCAAATGTGATCCACTTGGCAACACTTAGTGGCATATTTCAATGGCATTTGATAGGATCATTCCTAGGTCAGCCATGCATGCATAATATAGGGTCAGCTGCACACTTGCATAGGGCCAGCCACTGCTCAGAAAAAAGGAACAAAAACAGTTCTGGGTTTGTTTGCCAGTGAACAACCACGACAAAGCAAAACAAAGCTAGCACCTCTTCTGACCATCTCCAACGATCTCAAACCCGCCAAAACGATCCAAGATCATCTAAGATCCACACACACGGTATGTCATTCCGTGCTTTTGGTTCGCGCGGCTGTTGCTCGCTCGCTCGCCAGGCTTGAAGCTGCACCCCACCTGGTACGTCCCCTTGACGCCCAGTGCCTCCGACGAGGAGATCCAGCGCTTGCTCTACCAGCTCGGCCGCTGGGCTTTGGACCCTTTTGTGACAGAAAACCGTCAGTCGAAACGCGCCCCCCCGTGACTGGTGACGAACGTGTTTTGAGGGGGGTCACCGTGACTCCTCCATACTCCTCCCATCTCCTCCCCAAAGAGAGTGGTTTGGGAAGGTCTGCGTGCCATGCTGGATCGAGTCTCAGGTGTCCATCCCAGCCATGCTCGACTGCCACCGAGGACAAGGCACCTGCCTTCGTCCCTGTGGCGAGGGCGAAGAGGCCAGTTGACCCGCGTCGGACTGGTCCGTGGGCCCAGCTGACGAGGATGCATCACTTTGGGGGCAATCAGCATGACACCGCAATTCCCATAAAAGAACGCAGCAAAAAACACAAAACACAATTACTTCGAGTGATCCCTACCATGACATTTCAATCATGTCTTGATTGATGCCATAGTGAGGAGCATGGTGCCATGGTCGTGAGTATTGTAGTTCTCGATTTTGCTTGTGGGTCCTCGGGTTGTGTGCTGTGGTTGTGTGTTGTGGTTGTGCGCTGTGTTGTGGTTGTGGTTGTGTTTGTGATTGTGTGTTTGTGGCTGTGTCTTTGTGATTGTGTGTTTGTGGATGTGTTTGCGGTTGTGTTTGTGGCTGTGTGTTTGTGATTGTGTTTGTGGTTGTGTTTGTGGCTGTGTGTTTGTGATTGTGTTTGTGGTACTGGTAGTAGTTGTGATTGTGTGTTTGTAGTTGTGCTTGTGGTTGTGTGTTCGTGGTTGTTGTTTGTGGTTGTGTTTGTGGTTGTGTTTGTGTCTGCGTGTTTGTGGTTGTGGTTGTGTGTTTGTGGTTGTGTTTGTGGTTGTGTTTTTGTGGTTGTGTGTTTGTGGTTGTGTTTGTGTGTTTGTGGTTGTGTGTTTGTGGTTGTGTGTTGTGGTTGTGTGTTTGTCGTTGTGTTTGTGGTTGTGTGTTTGTGGTTGTGTGCTGTGGTCGAGGTCCGGCAGAGAACACTGGCCGTGGATGGTCGTGGTTGAGGTCCGGCAGGAAACGCTGGGCGCGGATGGTCGAGGTCCGGCGGGGAACACTGTGTGCGGATGGTCGTGGTTGAGGTCCGGCGGGGAACACTGGGCGTGGATG